CCGTACTCTGTGAAGAACTGGACCGTCTCAATCTGTGCTGGCATCCGCAATCTTGGGTTATCAAAGAAGATGGTAGACCCCACAGATGTTGCAGCGTCGAGAAGAGGGGCCCATGAAGAGCCATGCCAAGGCAGCTTGGCGCCGTCCGCGACATCTGGCGCAACATCGACGCGAGCAAGCATTTCGTTGAGGTCGCCAAAGTGCTCTGTGACAGCCCAAGGGAATCCCATGGCTGAAACGCCGACCTTGTCCAAGTGGTCGATGGAGAAGTTGGAGGGCAGGGCAGTACCAATTCGCCGCTTGACAGCTTCAACATCGATGTAAGGCATCACGCTGGTATCCAATTGAGGTGCGCCCCAACGACCGACAGTATGGGTAACCCAAGACTGGTCTTTGGCGGCACTGCTTTGATGCAGCCTTGAGGTTATCTTGATGCTATCATCCACCAAGACTACCTGGACGTCTCGTACATCGCTGATGACTATTGGGACGCGCAGGTCAATGTTGGACAAAGTGGAAGCCCCTGTAGCGTGGTAGAAAGTGTTGATCAACACGGCAGCGGGTACTATCTCAGTCCCGTGGAGTGGATGATTACCTGGGAATGGCTTGGTGTCATTACCCAATCTGGTAGTGTACAAAGTCGTTTTGGTTGCAGTGCCGGAAACGGGGTTTAACTGGCCTAGCAGAGTGTGCTTGTCAACGTCATGCGTGAGGCTGTCCAACCCCAGCGAGTTGCCACTATGCACCTTCCTCCAGATCGGCTTGTGCACCCAATGCGTTCCAGGCACTCCCGGTGCCCATCGACGGCCAAGAGACCTGTCGAAGTCGATGGTCGCGGCCTTTGTGTACAACGTGCCGATAGCTTGCGCCACACACATCTCCGGAGACCTGTGACGGCGAACGGTTGGGATGACTGCGAACTCTTCGTCCTCCACTCCATCACCGATAATGGTCTCGTTGATTGATAGGGATACAATTGGATGACTGGACACTTCGAGGAATAGTCGGAATCCGTCTGAAATGGACGCCTTTACGGCGGACGTGAGTAACACAGGGCTGATCATGTTGTGAACCCAGTATTCGGCGTCTCGTTGGGTGTCTGAGCGTGGATCAGGGTCGGAGGTCGAGTAGAGAGGAATCGTTGCTGGCCGAGGCCGGATGTCCTTCGCCAACATCTCCCTCACTGGTTGCGCCAGCGGACTCAGCATTGCTGCAGAATGGAATGCGATGTCGGTAGCCACCCTAATTGCCTCGATGCCTCGTTTTTTGAGATTCTCAACATACATCTCGACGGCTTTGACCCTTCCGCTGATGACGCAAGCTGAGGGCGACGAATGGATTGCTGCAACAACATCTTGCTCATTGTATAGCTCGCCCTTGACTTGATCAAAGGGCAGATGTACAAGGAACATAGCTCCAAGACCTTTGACTTTGGCGTACTGCCCAGCTCTTCTAGTGACGATCAAGGTACCTTCTTCTGGGGTAAGGCAGCCTGCTGTCACCGAGGCGGCAATCTCACCCACGGAATGCCCAATGATAGCACCAGGAGTGACTCCTTCTGACTTAAGCAAAGCAGCAAGTCCGATTTGGAAGACATATGTCAAAATTTGCACCCGATCGGACTCGTCGAAGTCGCTGCCACTCTTTCGGAACACCTCGATAGGGGAGAACCCAGCCTCTGCTTGCACGATGTGGTCTAAGGGCTCAACAGCGCCGTGGAAGACGGGATTGGCAACCAGCTGCCTCGCCATTTCGTTCCACTGTGCGCCATGACCTGAGAAAACCCAAACAACATCTTTCTTTGTGTTCGTCGCGAGCGCGTTGCCCTGAGAACTCCACTCGCCGTTGTTACCACCTTCGGCAAATACTTTGAGCAATTCCGCTGCCTGCTCTACACTGGTAACAGCAAATGCTGCTCGGTACTCATGATGAGCGCGGCGGAGAGCAAGGGTGTTCGCAATTGACCTCAGATCTTCTCCCTTCCCTGGACCTATCAACCACCTCGCCAGCAAACCCGCTTGTCCAGCAAGTCGTTTTCGTTGTGGGGCCGAGACCGCAAGCGTGACTGGCACGTGAGCAAATCCGCTGTTCTGTTGGTTCATCGTAGCAAGGCGAAACGAAGACTGCTCGATGATAGCGTGAGCAACGGTGCCCCCATATCCATATGAACATATAGCCGCCCGACGTGGATGCGCCTCCACCTCCAGCCAGTCAGAAACCTCTTGCACGACTTGTGTACCCGAGTTCTCCCAGTCAACCTTAGAGTTGAGCTTGGTGAGGTTGGCCTGCGGCGGAAATTGCGCCTTGTTCAGTGCCAGAACAGCCTTGATGAACCCTATTGCTCCCGCACCTGCTTCGAGGTGGCCGACATTTGGCTTCACTGATCCTACGTTCACCGGCTTCGATCTGGATACACCGTAAACCGCCGATATAGCGCTGACCTCGGTCGGATCCCCCAAAGGCGTCGATGTCGCATGAGCCTCAACGTACTCTACAGTCGCAGGGTCGACTTTTGCTTGTTTAAGGGCTTGTCGGGCAACGAGTTCCTGTGATATCGCGTTCGGGGCCATAATACCGTTCGTCTTGCCGTCCTGAGCGACTGCAGAACCCTTGAGAAGAGCAATGACGTTGTCTCCATCTCTTATCGCATCCCGAAAACGCTTCAACACTACGACTGCGGCACCCTCCCCCCTTCCATAACCATGTGCATTGTCATCGAATGACAAACACGAGCCATCGGGCGATATAGCACCAGCTTTGTCTAATACCCGCGTTAACCCAGGCCCGCAAATCGCATTTACGCCACCAGTAATAGCCAGTTTCGACTCGCCCAACAGGACTGCCTGGCGTCCATGGTGAATCGCAACTAGTGAACTTGCGCATGCCGCATCAACTGCCGTGCTCGGGCCCATGAGGTTCAAGTGGTACGATATTCGATTCGGTATGCCGCAGTACGCGGTTCCGATACCTGTCCGGGAGATTAGAACGGGAATATCCAGAGCACACATTGTGTAAGTGAACCAACAGTCTTGAAAGAACTTACCTAACCAGGGCTCAATATTAGGCAGGTCTTCCAACAGCAACTTTCCATAATCATCAGAGTTCACACCCATAAATACGGCAGTGTCAGATCCGGAGAGGTTCTTAGGATCTATGCCTGCAGATTCCAGCGCCTCCCACGCTACTTCAAGAGAGATACGCTGCTGCGGGTCCATCTGCTCAGCCTCCTTAGGCGAAATCCCAAAGAAGCTCGGGTCGAAGTCCTCCAGGGCGTCCAGATAGTATCCACGGGATGTTGTGTTATCGAGCGCTTTGATGTTGCGGACGTCACGGTGGCGGTAGGGCTCCCATCGCATAGCTGGGATCTCGGACGAAGCGTCTCGTTTCGCCAGGATAGACTCCCATAGCTGTTCGGGGCTGTGGTTTCCACCGGCCACACGGCAGGCCATGCCAATGACGGCTACGTCGTTACATTCGCCCTTGGACGTGTCAATTTGCGATTCTTCACTTGTAAGTTTTAGCACTCACAAGTTCGCCGAGCTCTGCTTCCGTTACTGAGCTATGCACCTGCACTGGGCTAAAGGAACTAGACGAGTATTGATTTGAGTCGGGGGTTTCCATTGTGGCGTAGTCCTGATGTTCGATGAGAGTTTCCGACGAAGGATAGCAGACTTGTCAACAGGCGATTTGAACCCTCACTCTCAGATTGGAAGAGAAGGCCTAGACGAAGTAAATGATCCAAGCAGGGTACTGATATGTCATGCGATCTTGAATGTTGACGAATTCTAGCGTTACGTGCTTATTCGAACCGATAACCCTTAAATTGATTTATTGATCGATAAGTTTGAAGAATAGTGACGTAAGTGAGCTCCCAATCGTTATTTTGTTCGAACTCGAGACTAGCAGCGGACCATGGTAATACGTATTGACTGCCATGTTGGCTTGTTGACTTCTCAGACATCGGGTATTTCAGCATTTGAAGTTATCCGGGGCATTCCGGAGGAGTCTCGGGAGATATCCCAGACAACATGTGTTTTAGTGTTTAAACTCCCCGGAGTACTTCAGAAGGCACTTTCTTCATAGTTTAGTCGCCGGATAAAAGTGCAGTACAGTTTGTTTGAGTCGCTTTGTTGGAAGCCAAAGCAGGGATATACGAGATCTTGTTCGAGCAAGCTCTTGGCCCAGTCAGAAAACTTCTAATTGAGCAGCGTGCGGAGCATGTGATCCAGGTAATAGATGTCTTCAATTGGCTTTCCATTGTTTGGTACGCAATCAGAGTAAAAGTGGCGCAGCATCGAAGGCGCGAAGGATCCAAATGCCTGCTTCCTTGGCTGTACGCCGCACTCCAAATCTCCCCACAATCCAACGATCGAATAACACTGCAGAGAAACCACTCCTGGCCCCCGGGATCTCTAAGAAGGGAATTGCGGGTGTCGGCATGCGGGATTGTCGCGGGGAATCAGGATCGTGGGGTTACCTGCCTGTTCTAGTGCGCGATCAATCGGAGATTGAAGTCTTTGGCCTGACACAGTTTGGCAGACAAATCCTACGCATCGCGTTTGCCCTCATGCTCTCGACCTCACGGCATACCGAGTTTGCGCCTCGGTATTCTTCCAACAAGTCATTCGGATCTTCGCGCGCAATCTCAGATGTCTCCATGTAGTCGTTCACTTTGGGGCAAGAATCGCTAATCGCAATTCTATGTTTGCAAGGGGCTTGCCGATTGAGACGATGATCAGGTTGCCGGTAGCCACAATGAGGCATCCCTAGGTATACATTCGGCCCGGTGAGGGATGTCTTCGGCCACGTCAGGGATCTATTCTGCCTGGCGATGCGATCCGAGCGAATAGTTCCGCGACAAGGCCGAATGGTACGCACGCCCCTAAACGATGCGATAGACTTTCTTAGATCCCCCAGGTCATGCCTGGTAACGATTCATTCCACCACACTCCTTTGTGTAACACATTCGTTAACTTTGTTTTCTGTCATTCATTATTACCATGCATCTTCAAAAGCACTCGCTTCTTAGCGTACTTCTGACTGCCTCGCTCGGCCTTCCACACACCCATGCCGCGCCGATACTGGACTCACTCGTGAACCCTTTTCTGGACTCATTAGGTTCGATACTGAGTGGCAAAGGGCTAGTGCAAGGTTTACTTGGTTCCATCGAAGGCGCTATCGGCGTGGAGAAGACGTACGACTACGTTGTCGTAGGTGGTGGCACCGCCGGCAATGCGATCGGTGTCCGCCTCGCTGAAGCGGGCTACTCGGTCGCCATCATTGAGGCTGGACTTTACTACCAGATCGGAAAGCCTGTTTTAGGCTCCACACCTGCCGGTGGCATCGTGGGAATCGGTGCCAATCCTCTAGACTCTGATCCTATTGTTGATTGGGTGTTGACCACGGAGCCTCAAGCGGGCGCGGATAATAGACGCGTGCACTATGCGCAGGGAAAATGCTTGGGTGGCTCGTAAGGCCCTCCTATAACACAACGCTTATTACAATACTAACAAGATCTTCAATGCAGTTCTGCGCTCAACTTCCTAATTCACCATAGGTAAGAAGAGCCGTCTCTGCATCCGATTTCAGTGTACTAATCCTTTTCCAGAGGTACTGAGGGCTCATACCAAACCTGGGCCGACGCTGTGGGCGACGAGAGTTACACGTTCGCCAACTTTGAACCCTACTTCAAGAAGGCTGTCACCTTCACCAAGCCGAACGACGCCATACGTGGCAACAATGTGACTACGCAGTACGACGAGAGTGCCTTCCAAACACCGGGAGGACCTATCCAGATCGGTTACTCCAACTATGTCTCTCCATTCTCGACCTGGATGGAGAAGGCTCTTCATGCAGTCGGCTTGAAAAGGACCAGCGAATTCGATAGCGGCAAACTCATGGGAACACACTACACACAAACCTTCATCGACGCGAAGGAGCAGACCCGCAGTGCATCGGACGAATACATCAAAACAGCGCTCGACAACGACAAGCTCGCCGTGTATGCAAACACTCAGGCCCAGAAGATCCTCTTTGATGGCAACAAGACCGCGACCGGCGTAAGGGTTCAGTCCACGGCCATTACCTACGACATCCATGCTTCCAAGGAGGTCATCGTTTCCGCAGGCGCCTTCCATAGTCCCCAGCTACTAATGGTATCGGGCGTCGGTCCAAAGGAGACTTTGGAGAAGTTCAACATCGACGTGGTTGCCGATCGCCCTGGCGTAGGCCAGAACATGTGGGATCACATTATGTTCGGACCAGCTTACGAAGTCAGCTTCAACACGCTGGATAACACCCTCCACAACCCCGTCGCACTTGCCGATGCCCTGGCCGACTACACCCTGAAAGGCGAAGGCGTGCTTTCTTCCAACGTTGTCGAGTTCCTCGGCTGGGAAAAGCTACCCCAAGAGTTCCGTCAAAACTTCTCTCAGTCCACCGTCGATGCCTTGAACCAATTTACCGATGACTGGCCAGAAGCTGAGGTAAGTCCCTGCGTTCTTGATGATAACCTTGAAGGATGAACACTAATCACAAACTTTGAACAGCTTATCAGCGGAAACGGCTACATCGGCGACTTCTCCCTCCCTGTCCTCCAACAACCCCTAGATGGCAAGCAGTACGCCACAATCCTCGGAGGCATCGTAGCACCCACGTCCCGCGGCAACGTTTCCCTGCAATCGGCATCCATGAGCAGCTCGCCTCTGATCAACCCCAACTGGCTCACCTCTCCTGCGGACCAAGAACTCGCCGTCGCGCTCTACCGTCGCATGCGCCAAATCTGGAACTCGGAAACTATGCAGCAAGTTGTGATTGGTGACGAATACTGGCCAGGCAAGGAGAAGGACAGCGACGAGGAGATCTTGGCTGTAGTGAGAGACAGTTTGATGACCATCTGGCATGCGTCTTGCACGTGTAAGATGGGAAAGAAGGATGATAACATGGCGGTGGTGGACACCGAAGCTAAGGTTTATGGCGTCAAGGGCTTGAGGGTTGTAGATGCGAGTGCATTGCCTATCCTGCCGCCGGGTCACCCCACCAGTACGATTTGTAAGTTTCCCATGCGAGCTCAAGTGTTGTGCGGACGTCTGCTAACATTCGCGTAGATGCGCTCGCGGAGAAGATTGCCGCTGGCATTGTGGAGGCCAATCGGCGATAAGAGCCACGCGACAGTGAAAGATTTGCGTGAAATGAAGCGGAAGAAAAATAGATCGAAGACCTTTTACTACGCGTTGGCAAATGACCTGAGGTTGGAGCCTCGGGTAGGATGTCGACTTTGAGAGCGCGTGTTGTTACTTTCTGTTCCCTTTCTTAATGTGTATATTTAATGTAGCGAGGCAATCCATGAGTCAACCGTGCGACAGCTTAACTCACAATGAAGAGTGCATGAATGGAACCAAAATACCGAGAAGTGAAACCCAGAGGCATATCAGACGTTCTCGTCGCAAACTCGTAATGTACTGATGTACTCGGCCTGAGGACGTCGAACCCCAAAAGCAGGAAGCGGTTCACGTAGCAAAAGAAAGAAGCAAGACGAAACAATCGGCACATAGGTCCCTGCCCTTTTCAACGCATCTCTACAAAGCGAGCTTGATCGTCTTGCCGACACTAGGCGTGCCGTTGGCGTCGATCGCGAACAAAAGCCAGTATCCAGGCAACGCGACTCCAGGGTCGCCCGGGATAGCCACCGTATAGCTCGTACCGCTACCCGACATCGTCAATGCGATCCTTCTTTGATCGGTGTTGACGGTATGAGTGGCGGTGCCAAACCTCACCAGCGAGAACTTGGTAACAGCCGCAGTCGTGGTGATGCTCAAGCTCGCGCCGAGTCTGGCAGTAGAGGCTACAGTGCTTATGACAGGACGTGCGCGTTTTGTACCGTCAGCGTTCAGAAGGTAGGGGGGTACAAAGATCTCGGCGTCGAAGTGATTGTTGGCACCGCAAGAACCGCACAAGCCGCCACCGCCGACGAAGACGGTCGCATCCGGCATGAGGATTGCTACGGAGTGGTATGTCCTGGGAATTTGCATGGGGTTCAACTGTGTCCATCTTCCAGTAGTGGGGTCCCACAGCTCCGGAGTCAGCTGCGCCGTATCGTCGTTGAACGGGTGCAGACGCGATTGTCCACCAGCAACGAAAATTGTTCCGTCGGGAAGCGCGACACCATTCGCGAAACCGCGCGGATAGGTCATAGATTGGGTTTTGGCGACAGTTGGGTTTGTCTTTGGTGCACCTATCGTGACGACATAGGCACTTGTGCGTCCGTCACTAAAAGACAACGATGTCAGCGTTGCTGCGTGAGTGATGCGAAAGGCGGTTCATACCTGTTTTCGTAGTTTGCAGCACCTCCTGCAGTGAGTATCTTTCCGGCTGTGGCGTCGAACATTACTGCATTGCCACACATGGCGTCCCCGTCATCCAAGCGGTTACCAGCACCCGTGGTACTTCCAGATCCAACAGTATCGTACCAGTTCATGGCGATCGAAGGGCCGGCTTGAAATACCGTCTGGTTCTTCCATCTGTAGTTGGTCAGCAATAAGGTCAATGATTATCAGGCGCTGGACTTACCCAAAGAGCCAAGCATGGTTATCCGAACGATATACGCCCGCAGTATCAGCTGTAAGCATAGGGCTGACGAGCGCATTTTGTAACAGAGCCCAAGTATTTGCAGTAGCGCTATAGATCTCTCCGTTCTTGCCACCCCTGTTGCCGCTCCATGATCCGCCGATATTGAAGATGCGCCCGTCGGAGCAAGTAGCGGTAGATTGGTACCCCCGAGCAATCCTCATGTCGCTTCCTGGGGTCCAGGCGTCACCAGAAGGGTCATAGATGCTGGTCTTTGCAGCGTCGCTGCCCCCCGAAACAATAACACGGCCGTTGAAATCCAGGGAGATACCTGGGCAGAACATGTCGTGCTGTGTATTGGAGACCTGAAGCTGGCTCGACTCGCCAGTAGCAGGATCATAAATGCCTGTTTGGGTGAAGCCTCTGGATCCGCCGAAGTTGTCCTTCGCGAAGGCCGACCACATCAGCACTTTTCCGTTCGGGAGCAATGAGACAGCTGCTGGTACAAGCGGGAAATCCACAGTCTTCTCCCATAAGCCTTTGCCTGCCGCTGGCGGAGCGTATGCTGTATCCTGGAAGATGTTGATCTCAGCGATGGTGGTCCATTGGTTGACGGCGCTTTGAGCTTCTGAAGTAGCTGTGATCCTAACATATCGTGCCGGTTTCGCGACGAAGGAAGTCCTCTTGGTCGTCGCATCGTTGTTGTATGTGCCGACAGCGACGACCTTCCAGCTCGAGTTGTCGGTACTAATCTCGATCCTGTGTCCTCCGATCCTGCCATTGGCGTTGTCGCTTGGGCGTGGCTGCAGACTGACGGCGTTGATGTTATAGGATGCTTTCATGTCCACGATGATCCAGTTTGGTAGGGTGTCGGCCGGCGCGGGATCATATTTTGAGTGCCAGAACGATGTCGCATTTCCATCGAGCGCTTTAGAAGGCTCATTACCAGGTTGGAAACTGTCCGACGTTGCGGTCCATCCTGAACGGCTGATAGTGACAGAGGCAGAGTTGACTGAACCCGCTAGGATGAGTACGGCGATATAAATCGCTGATAGACTGGACCTGAAGCTCATGTCGAAGATTGAGAAGTGAAGGCAGCGGCTTTATTGCTGATATGAGTCTCAATGCAAGGAAAGCTTCGAACTTATAGTTCTTTGATAAGGTTCTGGCGGCATGTCAGCTTACAAGACGCTGACCTCTGTTCCCATCGCCTCTCGACCATAATCATTCATCTCACACTCGCAAACGCCATGATGCCCGTCTAGCTTAGCTTACAATAGCACTGTCCAAGGTTGATGCGGAAGTCCAGCTCCGCACACGCCCAAGAATAGACATGTGGAAGATATCGCCAATTTACGAGGCTGACGGACTTGACGCATCGCGCCCACAGACTGATCTCCGCGTAGATAGTACCATTCATTGACTTGCATCTCAAAAGTCTACCTCAGTGATGGGCTCGGATTTGCCCGCTCAAGACCGGTAGTCCGTGTTGGCTGCATGATATATTAGGCTGCATACTAGATGCGCGCTCAGAAGCCTGGAAAGGAACGCCACAGGATGTCATCGGGTACTCGGACATCGTATTGATCATGTGGATGATGATGTCGCGAATTGTTACTGCCATGGGAATAAACAGGCGCAATGCCCAATATTTGCTGCATGCAGGACCATCTTGGCTAAGCGTTGATGGTGGGGCGGGATTCGGCTCGAATCGCTGACCGGGAACATGCATGAACGCCTCCAATGAACATCTGGACCACTGCGCCCGTGCGCTAGTCGGGCATGGCGTACCCTCGCCTCGCCGGCTCAAATACTGAGGCTGTAGCCGTCCAGTCCGTCTGGTCCATTGAGAATCCATCGAGGTGGCTTTGCATGTAGTCTCTCTGCGTCCGTTTCTGTGGATTGATAAGGGCATGCAAGCAGGCTGCCAGATCAAGTGACTGTTGATCGAGAAGGCTTCGCTTGTAGTCTCTATTCGTCCGACTCTTCGTCCGATTCTTCGTCGTAGTCTCCACTATCAGTCGTTTCCAGTTCGCTGTCGGTCGATTCTACCTGAGGTCCAGAATGCGCTAATAACATCGCTGACATATCGCTGTCGGTCTCCTCCTCGTTCATGTCTAATTGCTCGTAGCGCAAGTCTTTCAAATTGTACCAGTTTCCTTGGGTCTGACAGAAGACATACGTCTCAATTAGGAGATCAAACGACAGCACCACCCAGATCGGCTCTACGTCCTTCGTGAAGGACGATGCAGATGAGCCAACTTCGTCGCGACACGTCAATGTGATCTTCCACAAAGCCGAGGGCAGCTTGGCTTGAAAGCCTAAAGCCGGATCGTCTTGATATCCTGGGGGCTGGAAGCGCTCTACCTGTACCCAGTCTTCTATGTCTGATTGAGGGTACAAGATTTCCAACGTCTCGAGCTTTGGTGGCAAATCTCTCGGCTGGCAGCAGTGTTCCAGCCAACGATCCGTCTCCTCGTTGAAAAAGAACAACTGTGGAATGGTGAGATGCTTGAGGTTGGTGAAGTGTTTAAATGATCTCTTTTGGTTCGTCAACAATCCCAGCAGCCATTCTAAATCGGAGTCGTCATCAGTAATTTCATGCGTGATGGCAAGCCTTTCTAGACTGTCTCGCATGCTATCAAGTTGATCTATGAGATAGCCAGCATCAAGCTGGGTATCTCGGTCGTCAGTGAGATGATAGCTGTCGTTGATACTGCGCCGGCGAATGTTAGCAGAGGCAACGTATATGATGCACTAACAAACTCACAGCTGCATTTTGAGACTTCGTAGCCGGCTGCAGTCGAGAGCTTCGAAAAGGTCACTGAGTTGGATTTCCGCCTTCTCGACGAGAGGACGATCTGCAAATTGTATCGAGACACTCAAGGCTAGATCATCAAGGTTCTCGGCGCCCTGTAGACACCCACGACCGTTGAGACGCAGGATGGTACCAATGGAAATCGTTTTTAGATCGAGGCTTTTGAGATTCTCGTAGTGGATGCCGGACTTCAGTAAGTGTGTGTCGCTCGTAGTCAAATGTCGAAGCGTGCTCCAACCGTGAATAATGCTAGCAGGGGCGAACATTCCCCCGAAAAGCCCTGAGATGCACTCGCCTGAAGGTGGACCGCGAGCATGATCTTTCACCCAGACGTCAAGGTGTGTGAGGTTGGGAAGCAGTACGAGCAGCAGTCCAGCAAATCCTGACTCTATCGAGTTTCGAATGGTCCGATGCCAAGGATGCGACGCAGGATACCCCATCTGTTCCAGCTTTGCCAAGCTTCGCACGCGTAAAGACGCGAGGTCGAAGTCCTGCACCTCGCAAAGCTTCGCGACATTCTTGCGAATTGTCCCAACGCGTAGGGTTCTGATTTTTGCCGCAAGGTCTGCGCGGTCCAGGAGAGTACGCAGCAGCTGCAGAAGGGAGCTCACCTTGGGGTGAGTCCCACATGGCATGGACAGGTTTACTGTGGTGTAAAGGGCATCTTGGGCGACAGAGCGAAATCTGCGGGACGTGAGACTTAGGTCCTTGAGGGACGTGGGTGCAGCCGAGTCGGGAAGATAAGAGGCGGCGTGCAGCAGTAACTCTTCCGGCAGCTGGTAGATGGGCGGGTCATCGTAAGGCGTCATAGTGGACCTCATACTTAGAGTGGTGGACGGTAGCATCGCAGACTAAGTGATGTTGATGCTCTGCTTGGTGGATTGCGCGGTTTTCGATTTCGCGAATAAGCTCCTCCTTGACTGTACCAAAGACCCTGACGGTATCATCCGGTGTTTATCATCCGCCACTCCACGTTCAATTCGCTGGATTCCTCAGGACGGTGCTGTTGGGTAAATGTCAATGATCAAAGCACTGTCGTAACTTGATGCTGAAGTGTGGCGCTGACGTGCCAGATGGGTGACCGCGATGAACAAGCCCTGGTGAAATTGCGATCGCGGGATGGTGCGACACGATGACGTAATCACTTAGAGATGGCACCTGGGCAGGCACACGCACCAAGCTGCGGAACTGCACGCTAAAGAAAGTTAACAACGCTTAATCTAGATTGAACACTACCTAATACCCAAAACTCAGACTTTCTTCTGCGCCCTCTTCTCTCTCAACCACATCTTGAGCAGGAACAGCAAGCTCGTCACCACACCCATGCCGCTCAGTCCGACGCTAACGTACATGGCGCCGCGATAACCGTGCAGTTCATCCTCCGCCGTTCTTCCGCCATTGTTGACGTGCACCTCCACTGTTCCTGCGATGCCAACTCCAATACTGATACTGTAGTTCACGATCGTGTTGACCAAACTCGCTGCCATGCCTTGGTGCTTCTTAGCGACGGCATTACTCATGATCAACGTGCCGGCGGGAAAACTCATGTCCATGCCCCATGGGATGATGAGCGTGGTAACAAAGGTTTGCGCCCAGTAGATCTGGTTGATTGGGAGTGTAGCGACCAGAATGTTGCCTATCAGAAACGCTAGCATGCTGATAAGCATGACCCATCCTGGGCCGATACGCGAGATGACACGGCCAGTGGTGACCGCAGCGATGAAGCCGGATATTACGACAGGGCAGAGATGAGCCATTGTGAGAAGTGGGGACTCGCCACGCAGTTGCTGGAGCATTTGGATGAAGTAATAAACCCATATACCTACAACTGTCGTTAGCCGTGCGCTCTGACAAAGGTATTTGGAAGGCAACTTACCGAAAGCAGCCCAGCCACATGCTATGCAAGTCAACACGAACGAGACATCCGTGCTGAGCGCATCAAACGGAATGAGAGGCTTCTTGGCGACTTTAATCTCGATCCAAAAGAAAAGCGGAAACAGAAGAAGGCCGATTATTAGCAAGACGTAGATGTAGGGGTGTCCCCATCCAAAACCAGGCGCTTGATTCCAGGCAAAGTTGAACAGGATCATGGCAGTAATGCCAACACTTGCGCCGAGTAGGTCAAGCTCACGAACTCGTTCCCTGTGCGAGAGATTGCGAACTTCCGGGTCGAGTGGTACTGAGGGAAGGATGAAGATCGACAAAATTGCAAGGCAGAACAGCGCAATGCCGAACGTCCAGAATGCCCACGGCCACCACAAGAGCGCCCAGAGACCAGCAAACGCGCCGCCAGCTATACCACCACCTATATGACGTTAGACCATATCCATAAGACAATGGGCAAATACATACCGGGTGCGCATGCTCCAAATAGCGAGAACACCATATCCTTCCTCTTCCCCTCGTTATACGTCGCGCCTAGTAGGCCAAGCGCATTGGGAAGTAATATTGCCGGTCCAATACCTCCCAGCACGCGCGAGAAGATGAAAAGCACCTGACCACCATTTCCCTCAATGTAGACGCTGCAACCGGCTACTATCATCCAGACGCCAAACCAGATATAGCCGATGATCAACATGTTCTTGTATCCGAAGAGATCTCCGCAACGGCCAGATAGCAGGATGAAGGTACCGACTGTCAACGAATAACCCGCTATCAGCCACGACAGGACACCGGGGTCGGTGATACCAAGATCGGATCCGATGATATGCAAGATATTGAGAGTGCCGAGAAGACCTGCTTGTGTGACAAACTGAGCAGAGCAGAGCAAGCCAACAAAGAAGGCTTCGCGGAGTGGAGATATGGTCTCTGCGATTGACTTCGTTTTTGCGAGTTCCAGGTCCTGCTGCTTGGAAGCTTGCGCAGAGTGGCGAGAGTCGCGGCGGTCCATGTCTTCGTGGGAGTCGCTGTCGTCAAAGTCCTGGTCGGAGTTAGACGAGAGCTTCTCGCCTGTTGGCTCTAATGAGCCTCTTGGTTCTTCCATTTCGAGATGGCTCGACGGCGTGACCGAGGAAAGCGCCTGCTGGAGTATGTCTCCCCGAGACTAAGGTGAATTACTCTTGGTATCGCGAAAGATCGTGTATGGTAACCTGTGCTGAATGAACTACAAATTCTGCGCCTATGTTGTTCTGGCTGTGAGTTCCGAGATGGTACCGCGATGACGACAGTGCTCGTCGATTCTCAACGACGCGTCTCGAGGCGGAGGCAGGCGATGTCTGTGTCAAAATGACTCTCGCGATTCGAAGAGTGTGTACAAGTATGTGTGCAAAAGTGACCCCAGCGCAATGCGCGTCCTAGTTTGGCGCCCATCGTGCCTGACATTTTTCTGAGCAATCTTCAACATTCTTTACGTGAGCGCGGAATTGCGTCTGTCAGGCAAAGAAAAGCGGGTCCGCCGAACTTCGACCGCTGTCAAAGTCAGGATCTGATAACGCGCAAAGACGTTTTTCTTCGGAAAAAAGCGGGCTTCGATTCAGCAGCAGAAGATCTAGATTCGGGCGGCGGATTTATGAGCGCTTGTGATGCTAAATAAGCCATGAACTAAGCATGTGTAACAAGACTGCGGAAGACGGCCGTTTGGAACTTGTGCAAATGCCGCTAAAACATTCATCCGCAGGCGTAAAAGCACAATCTCAACGACCAGTCCGAACCAGGACCAGGCCGTTGTCTGAGTCAAAGGCGCATTCTATCCATTCTTCCCCAATGCGCTGGCGTACGATGTTTACGCACGATTATGCGACTATCTACCGTCCCTTATCCTCATAAACCCTCACACCAAGAACCTTCCAGACAGCCCAACTGTGCCCCCCAACCCATATCGGCCCACCCCTCCAAAGCGGCAACACATCATCCCTCCCCCGCCTCCTCTTAACAACAGGCCCCTCCCACTCCCCCTGCTGAAACCTCTCAACATCATCACTCCTAACAGTATGCGTCCTTGCACTAGCCGCCATCGTCCAAAACCCCACCACATGCCCCTGATCGATCTTATGTTTCAACCAGCCCTTGCCCTGATTCTCCTCGGGACTGTTGTTAAGAAGAGATAGCAGCTCGGTGCAAGTATAGTCGGCTTTTCCCTTTGGTAGAGTGACGGAGCTTAATTGTGTTCGGTGGGCTGATGCAGGGATCTTATCGACGAGGATGGGGGACCAGAGGAAGGGGAAGGGCGCGTACATGAGCCGGAGGGATAGGCTCAGGAGGACTGCGACGGGGAAGTCTAGGCCGATTGATACGCCTGCGCGGAGGGCTGATCCGAAGGTAAGCCGGGGTGGAGATGTGGGCGTTGAGAAGAAGAGTAGATGTCTCTGGAACGCGGAGTATGTGGGACGAGACATGGCTACGGTGTAATGTCTGCTTGGAGGGCTTGCGACGCGTCGATAGAGAGAATGTGCATATCTGCGAGACAAAAGTACGGGTTCGCGTGTAGAAGTCATGACGTCACGCGCATCCAATGCACCAGCGCACACCGTGATAATGTAGAATAGGTCGGTATATACGAATTGGTCGCCTGGAGCGCATGTTATCACTACAGATATTGTATTATCGTGTACTCGTAACCGTGGGTTCATTCTGTCGCGACTATTGTGCTATTGATTATAGCATTACCACACTTCCTACAACCGCAGCAATAATTGCACTGCCCAAAACGCTTGCAGAGAGACCACCGGATGCAGCCGCGGTGTAAGTAGGCATGGGCATGCCCGTACCGGAAGGTGTACTTCCGTTGCTCGATGTGCCGTTACCAGCTAGATCTGGGAACAGATAGCTAGTGTTGGCATCAACAACGATCCAGTTTCGCACCAGGGCAGTTCCGTTCATGACCGACTCCCACTGCTCCGCTGTGCATTGACCGGGATCAAGAACGTAACATTGCGTGCCTTCATCGACAATTGGTTCGTTGGTGATGTTGTACACGTCACTTGGTCCTTCGCTGGCGTAGTCGGGGGTCTCGGTTGTAGAG